TTGTCCATGCGACAGTCAGGGCCATGCTGGTTACTTTGACCTCGTGGATGTCTGAGGGGGGGGCGGGGGAGGCAGGGGCGCTTATTTACACCAAATGCATTATTCATGGTTAAGGTTTGCAGCGTAGCAAAATTAGAAATGGAAGTGGTTTGGAATGCAATTACTAGTTATTGACCAAATGTTGCCACTGAACACAAACCTGTTAACAAGATACTCATGCATCACGTGAGGCGAAGCCACTGCACCATGTAATATGTGGGGGTATATTACTAGAAATTACATGCTGGTTACTTTGACCTCATGAATCTCTGATGAAGGCACACGATGTACTCGGTGCTGGTTTAAAAACATTACAAAAATATTTTGATGTGCAAAGATGGGCAATCACGTGCTAATTTAGGGGAGCAATCTTTAAAGCCAGAGGACGAATGCAAGAGGAGCAGGTTTTTTTAAATTCACTTACGGGATGTGGGCCTCACTGGCTGGGACTGCATTTATCGCCTGTCAGCTGCCTTTGAGAAGATGGTGGTGAGCTGCTTTCTTGAACCACTGCAGTTCACATTCCGTAGGTTGACCCACAATGCCCTTAGGGAGGGAATATCAGCAACACTGAAGCAATGGTGATATATTTCCAAGTCAGGATAGTGAGTGGCTTGGAGGGGAACTTGCAGTAGTGATACCCCCATATATTTGCTCCCCTGATGGAAGTTGACGTGGGTTTCGAAGGTGATGTCTATCAATCTTTGGCGCATGAGTTTAAAAAGATCAAAAGCTTGCTCAAAGCTGTATGTTTTGAAGGTGTCCTAAAAATAGGAATGTGACATCCAGAGGTGCAGAGATGTACAGGTTGAATTTCAAAGCAAATGATCTAGGACATCAAAAGGTCAGACCAACAGTGACACCATTATAATCTGAGAGGCTCATGATGCCAGAATCAGAGAAGCAGGTATATCTAAGAGGGTTGTGGAGCTAGAAGATAATATAGAGATTGGAGTCTTCTGAAAACAAGGATAACTTTAGAATCATGACATCGCTTGAATGTGAGCCAATGTAGATTTGTGAGCAGATGGATTACAGGCAAACGGGATTTGCAGTCAGTTAAGACACAGGCAGAGTTTGAATGGCCTTGTGCCTAAGAATAAAAGAATATGGGAGATCAGCGAAAACTGTTAGAATTGTCAAGTCTAGAGGTCCTGATTAATCAGGAGACAAAGGTGCTATTGCCCCTTCCACGCTTCATATTCTGAAAGTAGAGCAGACCGCTGCAACGGATTGGAACTTGACTACTTCTGCAACTGTACAGAGTTAAATGACAGAGAAAAGGACAAAAAGCAGATCAAACCGACAACCCGAGAAAGGTCCAGCGTGCAAAGAGGCAATTCTACCTATCACCTCTTCCCCAGCTGAAAAAAAAACTAGCCACCCATTAAATTCAACTTTGCAGCATCTGGTTTGCAGCCTTGAAGTTACAGAAGTTCAGGTGAGAATCCAGGTTCCTTTTAAAATGAGTTGAGAATTCTTGCTTCAGACACCAAACTGGGCAATGAATTCCTGATATCTACCCAGCTTTTTTTTGTCCTGCCTCTTTCAAGGACCTATGGACATGCAGTCCGTGGTCTTCCACATTTTCTACACTTTGTCCCCAAGAGATTTAGCTTCCCTGCTTCTTCCAACTTCTTTCTTTGCAAGATTAAATGGGTAATCAGGCTATGGTACCTGCAGGCATGCAAAGGAAGATCCTTTGTGTAGTATGTATCCTCTTCATCCTCCTCAAAGTTCAGTTCCGGTAATAACTGACTTGCTTTGGCAACGGCATCATCAATTGCTCCATTCTGGAGAACTCCATCTGGTCCATTCACCTGTGAGAATATCAAGAATTACTGTCAGCACACAGAAAAGGGCGAATTAAAGTAATTACCTTCTCATCATATAGAGAATCTGTTCACAATGATCTATAGCCCTCCTAAATTTAAAGCAAAAGGGGATCACTGTCCTTTTCTGTACAGGTACAGAACCTGTTTTCTTTTGTAGTACCTTCCCTGAACAATACTTGGATAAGTCAATGGTAATATACAACAGTGAACCAGTGTGGAGTGGCTTTCATTACTCCGTCTTTTCACATTAGAGGAAGTCAGTAGGTGGGAAGTAAGAAAAACTGCGGATGCTGTAAATCAGGGACAAAAACAGAAGTTGCTGGAAAAGCTCACCAGGTCTGGCAGCATCTGTGAAGGAAAATCAGTTAATATTTCAGGTCCGGTGACCCTTCCTAAAAGGATGGGAAGGAAGTGCTTCCAGCTTTTATGTAGTAACAGTTGTTCAAAAACAGCACTAGTTTCTACCAACACAGCATACTATGAACAGGAAATAGAAGGTGCAATCGAAAATGATAGCTGCCAAGACCCTGCTCTCCATTTCTGCAGTATTTAATCTCACCCATCAGTTAACCAAGCTCTTTTTTTCATCACATCAAATAAAAATCACAGCTCTGGAGAGGTATCATCATTAGGCCACAGTCCTGGGATTTCTACATCAGGGAAGGTGATGGCCTAGTGGTATTATTGCTAGACTATTAATTAAGAGACCCAGGTAATGTTCTTGGGATCTGGATTCGAATCTCTTTATGGCAGATGGTAGAATTTGAATTCAATTAAAATAATATGGAATTAAAAGTCTAATGATGCCTATGAAACCATTGCCAATCGTGGGGAAAATCCATCTGGTTCACGAATGACCTTAAACTGCTGTCCTTACTTGGTTTCGATTATACTTGACTCCAGACCCAAAGTAATATGTTTGACTCTTAACTTCCCTCTAGGTAATATGGATGGGCAGTGAATGCTAGCCTAAGCCAACAACCCCAATACCTGTAAATAAATAAAATTAATTGAAAGGATTGCTACTATTCCCTCATCAGGATCTCTCACAGCTCTGGAAAAGCTAATTTCACATCGGTGTTCTTGCCAACCACATTTACAAGAGAGCCCAAGTGAATCAGCTTTCAAAAATTCTTCTTTGGGATGAGTGTCACTGGTAATTGAGTAATTCCCTAATTCCCTCTAACTGAAGAGCTTAAAGAGGACAATTAAGAGTCAGTCAACCATATTGCTATGGGTCTGGAGTCAGATGTTGGCCAGAATGGGTAAGGATGGCAGATTTCCTTCCCTACAGGGCATTAGTGATTAACGTTACCGAGACGAGCTTTCATTTCCAGATTTATTAAGTGAATTTAACTCCACCAGGACACTGGCCTGGGCTGCTGCATTACCTGACATCATCATTACACCACTGTCTCTCCCTAAAACCAAATGGTGAATCAAAAATATCCCAGAGACTTTAAGAGCACATGTACAATTTTATGAACCTTAAATCTCATGATTTAGTAAATTTAAATGCAAAAAAAATTTGTAACTGATGAACCACTTTTGGTAATTTGAGTGGGAGTCACAAATTATCAATATAACTGTAAAATGATTTGAGATGCAACTCTGCAAATCAATGATCAGAAACAATTTGAAGAAGGTTCCTCATTGCGATGAAAGCAATTGCTCTGATTTCTCTTTGCTGGTCCAAATGAACCCAAGGATCCTGAAAGGTCAATGATCAGTTTATACAGATTCACCTCCTTAGCCAGATCTGCTATTCATGCAGTGTTACGGTAACAAACAGTTGCTAAGGTGCAATGTTCAAAAGATGTCCATCCAACTTGTAATTATCAATTCAATCACCAGTTGGGGACTTAAGAATTATGTACCTGTCTGCAGCCAATATGGGGCATTCTAATGCATCTTCTCAGGATAACACATCAGCAGCAACAAAAACATCCATGCAGAAAACACATGCTAATATCTGGGCAATGAGTTAACAAGTGCAAATTTAGGAAAAATGCAGGGGCTGTCTCTATTGTATTTGGAACTGGAGCAATTTATAGGTAGAGTTTTGCTCTTTATAAAACAAAATGCTGAAATCACAAAATAAATCTGGAATTAAAAGTCTAATGATGACCATGAATTCATTGTTGACTGTCAGTAAAAACCCATCTGGTTCACTGATGACCTTTAATGAAGGAAAGTGCCATCCTTACCTCATCTAGCCCAAATGTGACTAGCCAGAGATGCCCTCATGCCATGAATCAATGCAAAACATTAAGACATTTTAAACATTAAAATATTCTTTAAAAAATGTCTGTATTACTTCCCTGTTAGCCTTGATCATCAAATTGGCCTAGATACCAGGGACAGAAAGGACCCATACCAGACAAGTTAATAACATCCACCGTATGTAGATAGCCCTGCTGGAGATGCAGCAATGTAAGACCTAATTCTAGGGAACAAAGCAGTCAAGTGGTTGAAGTTTCAATGGGTGAGCATTTTGGGGGTACTGACCATAATACTTTGCTTCAAAGTCATTATGGAAAGCAATAAGGATAGTGCAGAAATCATGTGTTTAAACTGGCAGCTGGAAGGACAATTTCAATAGCATTAGAAACTAACAAACAGACTGAAAGCAGCTACTTGCAAGTAAGTCTACATTTGGAAAATGTATTTTAAAAATATAGTGAGAATTCAGGCCCAGTGTGTTTCTCTAAGAGTAAAGGACAAAGGCAGCGGTTCAGGGTACTCTGGGCATCAAGGGATATCAAAGAGTTTTGTGAAGAAAAAGGAGGGAACACCTGTCAGGTACAGTGCATTAAAAACAGGGGAGGTGCTTCAAAAGTGTAGAGTGTATCGGAAGTTGCTTTAAAAGGAAATTAGGAGGGCAAAGAGGTCCACAAAATATCTTTGTCAGATGGAATCAAGAAAAACTCCAAGGATTTTTAAAAGTATATTTAAGAGTAAAAGAATCACAAGGGTAAGGTTGGGGCCCATCAGAGTCTAAGCACCAACTTGTGCGTGGAGCCAGTTGACATGGGTCAGCTCTTAGATCAATGCTTATCTTAATTCACACAGAAGGAAGACTTTATAGGGGGGGGATTTCACCTGGGACAGTAAGGTTGTAGAACACGTTAAGATTAGTAAGGAGGAGGCACTAAATATTTTAAATGGGCATACAGATACACAAATCCCCAAAGGCCTCATGAGATGTATTCCAGGCTGCAATGGGATGCAAGGAGATTACTGGGGCCCTGGCAGAGATACTTAATACTTCACTAACCACAGGTGAACTGCCAAATGATTGGAGGATAGCTAACATGGTTCCTTTGATCAAGGAGGGCATCAGAGATAGGCCTGGTAATTACAGGCCAGTTTGATGCCAGCGGTAGGGAAATTATTGGAAAAAATTCTGCAGGACAGGATTAATCAACACTGTACTTGGAAAGGCAGGAGTTGATCAGAAATAGTCACCACAAATTTGTTCGCGGGCAATCCTATCTGACTAATTGATTATTTTAAAAAGGTGACTAAATATGTTGGTGAGTGTAGTGCAGTTGATGTGATTTACTTTCCGAGTCTGTCCAAGTCCGTCCAAGTCCTTCTGCAGCCTGGCCACTTCCTCAGCACTACCTGACCCACCACACTGGTGTCATCTGCAAACCTAGGAACAATATCCTTAGCTCCTTCATCTACATCATTAACGCACAGTGTGTTTAGTTGTGGTCCCAACAACTGACCCCTGCGGAACTCTAGTAGTCACCAGTTGCCATCCTGAAAAGACACCTTTATCCACAGTCTGACTTCTACCAGTCAGCCAATCCTCTATCCATGCCATTACCATGACTAATGCCATGAGCTCGTTTTATTTTGCAGCCCTCTGGAAATCCAAATAAGCCATGCCCAATGGCTGTCCTTTATCTAACTTGCTCTTTAACCTTCTCAAAGAAGGTAACAGATTTATCAGGCATGAACTACCCTTTACAAAGCTGTGCTGGCTCAGCCATATTTACCACACACTTCCAAGTACTCTACAATGTCAACCTTAATAATGGACTCTAAAATATTACCAACTTAGGTCAGGCTATAGTTTCCTGTCTTCTGCTGCACTTCCTTCTTAAAGAGGAATGTCATATTATCTATTTTCCAGTTCTCTGTGACTCTCTGACTCTAGTCATTCCTCAGAGATCACCACCAATGCCTCCAATCTCCTCAGCTATCCTCTTCACAACTCTGGGGTGTAGTCCATCTGCTCTAGGCGATTTATCCACCTTCAGACTCCGCAGCACCTTCTCCTTAGTGATGGCTACTGCATTCACCTATGCTGCCCCAACTCTCTCGAAGTTCTGGTATGGTACTGGAGTCATCCACCATGAAGATTGATGCAAAGTACCCATTCAGTTCCTCCACCATTTCTTTGTTTCCCCATTACTTCTTCAGCCTCATTTTCCAGCAGTCCAATGTCCACTCTTGCCTCTCTTTTAACTTACATATATCTAAGATTATGGACGCATTGGTGATGATCTTTCATGCCTCTCATGATTATGTTAACCTCTAGAAGGTCAGCCCTCAGCCTCCGACCCTCCAGTGAGACAAATAGATTGAGACTATACAAAAGCTCAGGTGATAATCCCAATGGTGTAGTTCACGCGAGTTAAAGATGACAGATCCAGATTCTGAGAACAAGCAAATATACTGTCATAACAACTATTACTTAAAAGGTAACACCAATGGATCCATGCATTCAGACCATTCTAAACTGATCTGCAGAACCTCCCCAGCTGTTTACCAGTTTTGGTGAACGTCCTAGCTGCACAACTCAGCTTGGGCGCTACTGTCATCTACAAAGTATATTCTAGAACAGGAGCTGAAATTCATTTGAGGAAGACAGGAGTTCTGAAGGACTTTATGGCTGAGACGGATGACATGTATGCTGGAACGTTGGAGGCAATGTGCAAGACTTGTCTTAGTTGTACCTGACACTTGTTTATTGTTTATTATAGTAAACAATTTTCCCAATTTACATTGAATTTATACTGACTTTGGGTTTCAGAGTATTGGTGCTTACTCAAGATAGAATCTAATATTTGTTTTGACTATTGAATATGAAAAATGACTTTATTTCAACCATGGAATGTTGTTTTATTCTTTTAGTAACTAACAGGATTTCAGATTTCTTCTTCAGAAACAAAAACTTGTGAACCCAACTAAGATTATATCAATATTTGAAATGAAACTAAATGTAAAAGTAAATTCTAAGAATCTTTTAAGCATCAAGTTGGATGTTGTAATTAGGAAATGGAACTTTATTTTTACTCTGGGTGAACGAGTTAACATGCAGGAAACAACCTTCCCCACTTGTATCTATTCAACAGTTTTGCTTCAAAATTGCTTTTTTTCCCAACTACCGTGGAAGATAGGAAACATAGATATTATGCAGCCTTGAGTTAAGACTGAGGAAATCCACAGTGCACTGTGTATAGCAGAAGCAACATCTCACGTGCCAGTCTAGTTCATTACATGAAATGTAAAATTTCAATTAGCTTTTTACGAACATCGGGGACTCACCTGTAATGCAAACTGATCATATTTTTCTTTCATGTGCTGAAAGATCCAGTATATTTCCACTATCTTGCTCTAATTTTAATAACATTAATCTTGTAGATCTGTTTCCTATGGACGCAATACAATGTGACTGAATGATAAAAAAATTAAAACTGCAGGAGGGGAAGAATGGGCCTGAAATACAGATCCTGATCCAAACGTTATTGAGCAGATGTTGCTAAATCCCTTGAGGTTCATAAACAGGTGTTCACAAATTGATGTTTGCCTCTGGAATTCCCTCCCAGCAGCACATTTACTAGAGTGGATGGGATGAAAAGAAATGGTGAGAACATTTTTAGAAAAATTATTTTGGGAAATAAAAATGACAGGAACAGCATGAATGGCCATTAACCTTGAGGATCCAAGTTCAAATCTCAGTCTGCTGGATTCAATGGCCCTGTGAAATGAAAAAAAATTCAGCAAACACTTGGGGGATAACTAACAGTTAAGATTTCAACCTGGCATGCATTTCAGAGAAAACCTCAGGTGAATGGTCTATACTTGTAACATTAATGCTTCTCCTTCTAGAAGCTGAATGACTAGAAGTTATTCCAGTATTCAACAGTAGTAACTTGTAAGGATACCAGGGTAAGGAGTTTAAAAAAAATTAGACCACAGTGAAGATGACAGTTTTTAAAGGTTAGGTTTGTACGCAAGGAAACATTTAATACACAAAGTACAAAGTACAGAGGCCAGGAAAAGGCAATGCAAGGTCAGCGGCTCAGTAGGAAACAAGCTTTTCACTAACTATTAGTTATTCCAGTCTGTACTCCCATCAACGCTACAATATTTCCTTCAATCATTATCCACAGAACTGAACACAATAGTCAAGCTAATATTCAAAGAAGAACACTCAGACTTCAGTTCCATCCTTTAACTGTATATCCTAAGATTCCATTTGCCTTTTTCAACATTGCAGTACTATGGCATCAGTTTAATAGGGCTTCCCACTAAAACCCCAATATTGCCCTGTTTCATTTCCAATGCATTGTTCATTTTTAATACTCCCACTTCCAGTTTATTTTTTAATTTTAAACATCTATGCATTAAACACCTGTTGGTCCTAAATCATGAATCCCCACTGGGATTTATTTTAACCTCTGGACAGGAAGGAGTCACACGCTTTATTACAGTGTATTTAACAGAAATCACAAAAGCGGATAATCAGAATAAGAATAGGCTGTTTGGCCATTCGAGACTGCTCTGACATTCAATAGGAACAAATCTGGATGACACTGCTCACGTCCACTTTCCTACACTTTCTCTGTAACCCTCGATTCCACTCAATCGAGAATATATCTCAATCTTAAATATACAGATCTTTGCTCCAAAGAGGTCCAAAAACACTCAACCCTCAGGAAATTCCTCATCTGACTCAGAATAAAGGGGTGCCAATTTCATTCTTTTAAATTCCAATGAGTAGCGTCCCAGTCTGTTGGGTATTTGCTCATTAAGACAATCCATATTCTGGATCATCCTAACGAACCTTCTCTGAGCTGCCTCTAAAGAAATAACTTTCCTTAAATAAGGGGACCAAAACTGCTCCCAGTACTGAGGTTGTTGACTTGCTCACCAAACTGGCTTGTTCTCATTTAGACGATGTCACCATGTTAGATGACATCATCAGTGGAGCCTCTGATGAAGCGATGTTATTCTACTCCGCTTGGAATTTATACTATTTGGTCCGTTGTGGTGAGTAGTGTCATTTCCGGTTTTGATCTGCATGGATTTGTATATGGGGTCCAATTCCATGTGCTTGTTGATTGCATTATGGGTGAGAACCATGCATCTAGGAATTCCCGTGCGTGTCTACGTTTGGCTTGGGCTACTATGGTTACCTTGGCCCAGCTAAACTGATGGCCTTCACAGTCCGAGTGTACCGATATGGAGGAGAGCGCGTTGTGCCGTTTTGCTGCTAGTTGATGTTCCTGATCTTTGCCAAAACTTTACTCCCAGTACTCCAGGTATGGTCTCACCAGCACCTTGTATGGTTTCACTAAGACTTATACTTTTGCTCTGGTATTTCAACCCCCTTGAAATAAAGGCCAACATTCAATTTGTCTCCCTGTTTACCTGTTGCCTGTGTGCTAACTTTGTGTTTTGTGCACAAGCACCCTCATTTCCTTTTGTGGTGCAGATTGTCTCCATTTAAATAATATTTTTCTTTTGTTCTCCCTTCCAAAATGAACAATTTCACATTTTCCCTTATTATATTCCATTTACGGACTTGCCCCCTCTCTCCCAATATATCTATCAATATCTTGTTGATAATAGTTTGTATCCCTCTCAGAGCGCCTTTCCAGCTATTTTTGTGTCATCTGCAAAATCTGGCTGCACAACATTTGCTTCCTTCCAATACATTTAGTCCCACAACTGATCCCTGAGGAACCTCACTGGTTACACACCACCAACCCAAAAATGAACCCTCTATCCCCACTGGCTATTGCCTGCCTATTTGCCAATTCTCTACCTCCAACACCATGGGCTACTTTCTCTCAACCTAAACCTTTGTGAGGTACTTTGTCAAATGCAACACACTACATACAAACAATACAACATACAAAGCATTCCCCTCTATCCACTCGGGTTGAGATTCCCTCAAAATAAACTCCAATAAATTGAGCAGACACGATTTCCCTTTCATGAAGCCATGATGACTCTGCTTGATTAGTTTAATTAACGCCTTGGCTGGATACTAATTCAGAGTGGTACTATTACATTAATCATCGGGAACTTCAATATGCAAGTGGACTAGGAAACTCAAGTTTGTATCAGATCCCAAGAAAAGGAACTCATGGAATGTCAAGGAGATGGTTTTGCAGATCAGCGTGTCGTAGAGCCCAGCAAGGAACAGGCAATTCTGGACTTGGTGTCTTGTAATGAAACAGACTTGATTAGGGAGCTGGAGGTGCAGGAACCCCTAGGAAGCAATAACCATAATATAATGGAAATCATCCTGCAGTTTTAAGGGGAGAAGTTTAAATCGGATGAACTATATTACAATTGATTAAGGGTTATCACAAAGGAGTGCTGGAAAAACTTGACAGAGTTGATTCAAAGGGGGGCTAACAAGAAAGACAATGGAGCAAAAATGTTGGGAGTTTTTGGGGTAATCCAGGAGGCATATCAGAAATTCACCCTGAGGAAGAAGAAACATAGTAAGGGAAGGATGAGGCAACTATGGTTCACAAGAGGAGTCAGGGACAGCATTAAAGCAAATGAAAAAGCATACAAAATGGTAAAGATTAATGGGAAGCCAGAGGATTGGGAAGCCTTTAAAAGCCAGAGGACAACTAAAAAAGGAATAAGGTCAAAGGGGCAGAGGTGAGTGCAGTGGCCATCACCATGGAGAAAGTGCAGGGGGAACTGAAAAGTCTAGAGGCGAGTGAATCGTCTGCACCGGATGGACAACATCCAAGTGTTGTGAAGGAGATAGCTGAGGATATTGTAGAGGCATTGGTAGTGATCTTTCAGGAACCACTGCTGTCAGCGAGGGTCCCAGTGGAATGGAAAACAGTTAACGTAACACTCCTATTTAAGAAGCGAAGGAGGCAGACGACAGGAAATTATAGGCCGGTTAGCCCAATCTCAATTGTTGCTAAGATTTGGGAGTCTATTATTAAGGTTCATAGTAAAATAGAGCTGAGTCAGCACAGCTTATCAAGGAGAGGTCATGCGTGACAATTCTTTTAGGAGGTAATAAGCAAATTAGACATAGGAGAGCCAGTGGGCATGATGTATTTGCATTTCCAGAAGGCATCTGACAAGGTGCTACACAGGAGGCTCCTAAATAAGACAAGAGCCAGTGGCGTTAGGGACAAGGTACAGACATGGCTTGAGGATTGGCAGACTGGCAGAATGTAGGGTGTGGGGATAAAGGAGACTTTTTCAGGATGGCATCCGGTGACTGTGGAGTTCTGCAGAGATCACGTCGGGATCACAAGTATTCACGTTAATATATTAATATTCTGTACGAAGGAACCGAGGGCATTGTTGCTAAGTTTGCAGATGACACAAAGATAGGTGGATAGAAAGAATGTTGTGAGGTTTGGAGACTGCAGAAGGACTTGGACAGGCTAGGAGAGTGGGCAAATCAGTGGCAGATGGAATACAATGTGGGAAAGTGTGAGGTTGTGTGGTTTGGTAGGAAGAAGAGATGTAGACTATTTTCTAAATGGGGAAAGCCTTCGGAAATCTGAAGCACAGAGATTTGGGAGTCCTAGTTCAGGATTGTCTTAAGATTAATATGCAGGTACAGTTGGTAGTCAGGAAATTTCAATGTTAGTATTCATTTTATCAGGGCTAGAATACAAGATCAGAGATCTACATTCTAGGTTGAGAGACTCTGGTCAGGCCACATTTGGAATACTGAGAGCAATTTTGGGCCCTGTATCTAAGGAAGGACATGGTGTTGGAGAGGGTCTAGAGGAGGTCTATAAGAATGATCCCAGGGATGAAGGGCTTGTCATATGAGCAGCAGTTGAGGACGCAGGATGTGTACTTGACAGAGTTTAGAAGGATGAGGGAGGATCTGATTGAAACTTACAGAATACTGAGAGGCCTGGATAGTGTGTACGTGGAGATGATGTTTCCACTCGTAGGAGTGTCTGGGACTGGAGGGCACAACCTCAGAAGGGAGGGACTACCTATTCAAAATGAGATGAGCAATTTCTTCAGCCAGAAGGTGATGCATTTATAGAACTCATTGCTGCAGAAAGCTGTGGAGGCCTAGTCATTGAGTATGTTCAATACAGAAATAGATAAGTTCTTGATTAGTAAGGGGATTAAAAGTTATGGGGAGAAGGCAGGAGAATGGGGTTGAGATTGAACAATGAAGTAGAGTCAAAGGCTTGAATGGCCTAATTCTACTCCTATCTTTCATGGTCTGGACAGTAAATGCAGAGGATCTGTTCCCACAACAGGACACAGATTTAACACATTCAGCAAAAGGAGGAATTATGATATGAGGAAATTACATTTCTTTTACAGAGTTGTTA